GCTGCGGAGGGCTTTGGTTTCCTTTGGTTTCCTTTACTTGACTTTTCTCCAACGGAGGGCGCATTTCTTCTTCAGTTATGGACGGCACGTACCAATGAATAAATAAATGAATAAATAATCAAAAGAGTGGTCGAGCAGATACAACACAATACAATACAATTGCCAGACACTCTTCCTTGTGTAGGTACCTTAGTTAGTGATTGTGAAGAGCGTTACTTCGTTAGTCACTTGCATGATATGACATGACATGACGACTATTGCCCGGTTGGGGGTCGAATTGTGATTGAGCTCTTTTTTGAGGAAGCACCAAGTGGAAGGTTCGGAGCGATAGACAGACATTATAGGAAAAGGCTTGCGGTAATGGAGTTATTTATACAGTCAATACTCGGTTATGATCCGAAACTTGAATAGTTTCCCTTATAGTTATTGATGTTAGAGTTGAAGTTGGTAAATATTTCATCCCATGTTACCCGTCGCTCTTCACTTCTTTGCTAACTTGACGCTTTTCAGCACCATCACTTCTTCATCACAAGCATTCCATCACACCTCCAGTCTTCGCTTCCGCTCTATAAAAACACAGCACCGATGGGTTATACACTTAAAAGAGTAAAAGCGACGTTCTATTGACTTGACTTGACTCATTCGTTCACCAAAAAAGGCTCAACTGATATCTACACCCCCTTTCCTTTGCCTATGTCTCGTTTTCCTCCTCTTCATCTTTCAGTTCATATCGCATGAATTGGGAATCTACCTAATCCTCGCCTTAATATAAGGAACCTCGACATCCTCACCCTCCGCATCCTCCGTCACCACCTCAAAGATCAACTCCTTCTGATGCCCCGGGATGGGCTTCTTGCTGATCGTCTCCACCAGCTCGCTGAGCTTAAGAGCATAGCGGTCCTTAAGCTTGGCAGGCGGGAAGAACGAAGCATACAGCAAGCTGACGCCAGAACTCAACATGGAGATGCTGAGGCCGCGCTTCTCGAAGTCGTCAATCAGTTCCTGCAGAGTAATGTCGCCGACCTCGAAGCGGTCCCAGATCTTGTCGAGCGAAACCTTGCCGTTGGGCCCGGTGTACTCAACCTTGGGGCTGGCGATGGGCTCGGAGAAGCCGAAGAAGGGCAGGGCCAGGTTGATGAAGCCGTTCTTGTACTGCTCAATGTCGGTCTTGCCGTCGATGATCTTGTACAGCTCGATGATAACGAGACCGGTGACCAGGGCCGTGGTGGTGGCAATGGCGGGGATGATCTTGCCGGCGATAAACTTGGTCTTGTGACGGTCTGCGGGCTCGATCTTGTAGTTCTCGGCACGCAGGTTGCTGGCGGCCGTGATGAAGTCGATGTGGTAGTTGGTGTCATCGTCCTTCTCGAACTCCACAACATTGAGCTTGAAGCCAGCAAGGGACTTGGGGTCGGGGAGCTGGGACTTCAGGTTGCCAAGCTCAGACTCGTCGTCAAAGGCAGTGTTATCCGCGTTCGGGTCCTATTCCAGTTAGCAAAGTCCCTTTACAAATACATTTACGGCAATAGAACTTACAGGCTCCTTCTCATCCGCCTGAATCTTAACATTAGAATCAGGAGAGAAGTCAGGCACGATCATACCCTCCAAAGCCTGGAGATAATCGGCCTTGCTCTTGCCCTTAACATTGATGCTATAGTTGAAGGCATGGAGGTTGGTAGCGGCCTCGAGGAAGCTAAAGTGCGTAGGGTTCTCCGGGTCGAACTTGAGCGGGTCAGGGGCGCGCTTGGGTCCGGACCAGAAGGGAGTGCCGGTCGAGGACACCGAGTCCTTGGGGAAGTTGTAGAGCAGCTGCTGGATAGCGTTGTTATACTGCTTCTCGAAGAGCATGCGGCCCCATTGAACGCAGTCCTCAAAGGTGAGCGGGCGCTCGTGCTTAAGGAAGTCCGCCAACATCTCCAGCGTCGCCTTCTCGTTGCCACTCTGCTTCAGTGTAGTGTCGAGGTAGTTAGGCTGGGTGAGGTAAAGGTTGACAGTCTCCGCAGGCTTGACGAACGAGCTCTCGAACAGCTCACGAGCCCAGGCAATGGTGTGCTCGATCTTGTTGGGGAAACTCCTGAGGGTGCACATGGGGAATGACTGCTCAGGAGGATCCTGGGAGGAGGAGTAGGACTCGGTGAGCCTAGGAAGCACCACTTGCGTGTTGCCCTTGGTGCCGAGGGTACCGCTCTCAAGGAGAGGCTTGTGGAAGAAGACGCATCGCCTGTCGACGTAAGTTCTCGCCTCAACATTGTCCAGCGCATTAGTGACGCCATCCAGACCCTGCCAGAACTCCTCATTGAAGATCTCCTCGGTCTCAGGGCTGACGCGATCCTTCAGAGAAACAATGTGGCCTTCAAGGTCAGGGTTCATGGCCTGCACAGCCTTAGACGCGCAGTCACTCTTCATCTGACCAACGTCCTTAGGGCGGAACAAGAACTGTCTGTTCAAGTTGGACTTCTCGATCGAGTCCATATCGGTGACGGTAATCTTGCCCTTGGGACCTGTTCCGAGACCGATCATGGCCCAGTTCTTGAGCATCTCACAGCCAATGGCGCCAGCGCCAACAAGGAACTGCTTGACATTCGAGATCTTCTCTTGGAACTCCTTGCCGAAAACCGCGATCTGGCCATCGTACCTGCTACCGCTGGGCGCGCAAAGCGCCTCAGTGCGCTTGAAGTTGGTGGGAAGAGCCTCAAGCGCATCGAAGTACATGAACTGCTTGATGGGATGGAACTTGCCCGAAACAGCCTTGAGGACTTCCTGGGCGGTAAAACCACCGAAGAAAGCGGCCATGGGGTTGAGGTCACCAGTAGCCTGGTAGCTGAGCTCCTTGAGAAGCTTGTCGTCGAACTCAACCTCGACACCCTGCTGCTTAGCAAACTCCTTGGCCGAGGCAATAACCACAAGCGCGTCCTCGTCGTTCATCGGCCTTGGTAGACGTCCCTGAGACTTGGCGAAAGCGTGGAGAGCCTGGAATCCGATATGGAGCTGCTGAGGGCGATCGAACTTGGCGAAGTCGGAAATGACAAACTCGGGGTCCTTGAGCGCGTGGGTGATGCTCTTGAACTCGATAGTCTTGGGCATTTTGACCTGCTGGTAGAGACCGCCCTTCTTGTACTGGCCGAGCCCGGAAACGTCGCCAATGGAGAAGGTGTAGGGGCCCTTGACGGTGACCTTGCGGGGCTCGCAACCGTTGAGTCCCTCCATACCCTCGACCTCGGAGAACGTCACATAGTCGCCATCCTCAAGTCCGTGCCTGGTCTCGTCAAGGGCAGAAACGAGACCCTCCTCGTCGATGCCAGCCACGATACCGTTGACGGGGTTCTCGCCGTTCGTGTCCATCACAGTAAACTTGTCGCCGAAGTCGCAGAAGATACCGCCGAAGAGACCGTGTGTGTTGACAGCGATGAAGTAGATGCCCTTGGAGTGGCAGTATTCGCCGACGGTAGTCTGGAGATCGGTGTTCTGGTTCGTAAGGACGACGACTTGATACTTGTCGAACTGCGATAGGTTATCGGCGAGACTGTACAGAAAGGCCACAGTTAGCTATCGCCACCCTCTAAGACCACTCTTTCTTCAACTTCGCAACATACCTTGGCGACTGGTGAATGTGAACGGGGGTATAAGCGTTGAGCTCAGCGACGCGGGGGGCGGTGACCTGATCGCGAGGCTTGCCGACATCCTCGGGGTGGAGGAAGAACTGGGCGGAGAGGTCGGCCCAGGCGGCGGGCTCAGGGTCGAAGAGGGTGAGACTCTTGACACCAGCAAGGGCGACGTTCTTGGCGATCTCGACGCCGAGACCCTTGAGGCCGACGATGAGGACGTTGGAAGCGCTCATGCGCTTCATGGCCTCGTGGCCCAGGACATAGAGCTGGCGACTGTAGAGGGATTCATCGATCTCGGCCGTGGTGCCGGCTACTGATCCGTCGACTTGCATCCTGGTGACAAGGTCGACCTCGTTTTTCTGAGTGTCCTGGAAGATGGCATCACGAACGTGTCAGCGGAGGCAAGGCGTATCGTCACGGATTTCGCGTCTTTCAAGGTTCGAGACATGAAGCATAGAACCGAAGCTCATCAAGGTTGTTCAACCTAGCCGTCCGAACGACAGCTTGCATGCGAGACTGACTAGCGCTAGCTACCCAGCTCAAAACGCAAGGTGGCTGGCGGGGGGGAGAACAGGCACACCTCTGACATCCCGAGTAGGAGTCACGTAGATACGATGATGGGTTCAAACTCACGGTCATGGTTCTCTTTAGGGAGATGGGCAGGTCCCCGTCGGATACTTTGCGCTTCCCCAGCTTGACGACTGTTGATTACGGGCTAGGCTGGCCAGCAGAAGTTGATGCGGGATGCGGGATCGCGCTTCGCGGATGGAAGGGGTCGGTCGGGTATAGATAGTGGACAGTTGGTTCGTGGTGACGCAAACGAAAACGGAGCAAAAACAAGAACGAAGATGTTAAAGTTGTTGTTTATTCGCGGTTCCGCGGTGGTTGGGTATCCTGATAGTATAGTGCTTCAAGATGGCAATGCTGGTCTAAAGAAAACACACACCGATGTTGTAGTTTGGATGACACGGGGAAATAAGACGGTCGAGCGCAAGTGCTACTATGTCGTGCGTAGGTCAAGGTTGGGTTGGAAAGTGGAAGCTGTCTGTAACCTGGACGGCGAAGGTCGAGGGAGGTTCGGTCAGCCCCGCCACCAGCTGTCAAGCATCAAGGAGAACTGCGGGGAATGATGTGATGCACTGTCGTTGGCCAAGCACCACAGCATGCAGGCCACTGTACTGCTGTTAGTGCAGGTGCTGTAGGCTTCACCATTTACGACCTTGCAGCTACCACTTGTACATTGAGTGGTCTGGTCATGCATGCTGTCCCTTTCTGATCAGATCAAGTGAACCTTTTCGAGGCTTGACTCACCTGTCTTGGTGTTATTGAAACCTGTATCGTTTGTCAACAGTCACCCATGAAAGAACCACGAGGACAGTCATAGAAGCATCGAATTATTAACAGCCCGCAAACGAGGCGGCCATTAAGGTACTTACCCAAAGAACCTCTGGGCCTGGCGGCAAATCCTACAGTAAGCAAGGGCCAGCCAGTCAGCCAACAAAACTCTCCGTCCCCGGCAGGCATATTTGAGCTCTCTTATCGCCATGAACCAATCACATTGAACGGAGTGCGTGCAGGTACTCCTCCATATTAAATTTGCCGCACCGATACTTTCCCCTCCCTTATCGCCCGACATCCGTCATCAAATCCCCGTCTTTGCCCATCAAGGTTCCTTCCCCACGTAAACACCAACAAACAACAATCCAAGTTTTCCGTCATCACCACCACTGACACAACTGTTCTTCTATTTTGAAGGTATTTTTTATCCCTGTTTCTTTTTGTCCAGCGGACCCTGGTTGGTCTTATTGGCGCCCGTTAGAACTGAGGACTTCATATCCTTTTCACGAGAACAGTGAACCGCCCGACTACTGGAGACCCTTGAGATATACGTCACTATCACATATTAGTTCGTATTCAGTTAACTGCCCGCGGCCACCCTGACTGAAACGGCAAGATGGAACGAGGTAGCGAATAAGAGGAAGCCGAAACCTACAAGATCAAATCCGCGTTCGGAGGAATGTGGCCGTGAAATCCCCTGATGGAATAGTGTCGAGTCAGCATATGGACATCAACTAGAAATCGACAGGTTCGAAACCGTTAAATGTACGGATGCGGATCATGCATATAGACGGTGTATATGGATGAGCATTGGCAAACCGCAAGATCCGTGGAAGTTACTCACCGCTCTCCATATCCATAATCACTAAAAACATCATCCTGTCAGTCTCACTAATCACTTTCTCTCCCTGACTGACACATCATCCACTCCTGTCGGGAAAACTCACCTAGAAATATCCAACGTCGCCTTCTCCCCAACCTTCATTTCCAACACTGCCTCATCCCAACCTATGTTCCATCAAAAAAGCCACGCACGCGTCAGCATACCCAATATCTCGGAGACATTAAAGAAAAGTGGACTGGTAGTGGGACCATCCAAACATACCTCTGATAAGTCTTCCAACCCCAATTTGCGTGATAAAATCCCCACGGCCGATCGAGGTGTCGAACCTGGCAAAAACAGCAGTGTTATCAGAAAGCCGAGTAATGATAATTGGGAAGGTACGGAGAAGAGGGAAAAGCTGTGAGGAAAGGAAAGGAAAGGAAAGGAAAGAAAGAACATACTGAGTTCCCTTGGCATCCGCCTGGCTCAAGTCCTTCAACCAACCAGTATACTCGATGATAACGGTTTGTCCAGCTTGTGGTTGCGGCCCAGTGCCCGAGACGTGGGTGATTTTGTTGACGCCCATTGTGTTGTTCTTTTTGTTCTTGATGTTTGTTTGCGTCCTTGTTGTCTGTGTTCCGGCGAACAAGTGAGTGACCGAGCAGAGAGATATATATCTCGACGAATGTGGTCCGTTCAACCCCTTCCCCAGCTTTCTATATGCAATTTGCTAGTCAGGTGTCCCCTTTCTTCAAACGTACGATTTATTTTGGCGTTTATTTCTTTCTCAAGTTGCCAACTAACCTTACTCGAAGTCAATCACAAAAAACAACTGATATCCGATCACGATCTAACTTTGTCTCCAGATATCGATATTATTGTCGATGGGTATCGTCGATCTCCGATCGTCCTCCCTCTATCTTTTACTAGTTCACTACTAGTAAAAGGTAGATTTCTCGGCCGAATTTGACCCTAGTCCAGTCTATACTTTGCGGAAGAATGGCCGAGTGACCGACACCGAATCCCTTAGCCAAGAGTGGATAGGGTATGCTTCGTGTGCTGGAGAAGGGTGCGGATCAGAAGCTTAGCGTGATGTGATGAATCCCCGAGTCGATAGGGAGATTTGGCGCCGATGTGAAGAGGTTTGTCAGCGCTGAGCTAAGGTCGGGGACTTGGCCGTTCACCGATGATAACCACACGGGAACTTCCTGATGTTTCTCGAAGCGAACAGTGAGAGTATTCTTTGAGGTTGGATGTGACGTGACCTGGGGGCACATGGACCAGATCTCGATCGCGTGGAGTCTCCTAAAGACGGATCCGTTCTCTCCTGGAACCTGAACAGCGTTCCGCAAACTATCCGAGTCAAGGCTAACCTTTCGAGTCGACGAACTAGGGGACCAGGGGACCTCAGGTGACAAGGACAAGGTAGGGATGGGGGGACGACAAGTCCAACGGCGTGACTTGGTTACCCCGGGGGGCAGATCCGGCCCCTAGTCAGGAAAGGTAGGGGCCCAACACAACGGTAGCGATACCTGGAAGCTTGTGATAGTGACTGTGATGGCAGGCAACACCAAATTCAACGACTAAGGAGTGTGGAGATGAGCCAGGACGACGTCAGGTTTTTCTTCTTCCTCTCGCTAGCTCGGAAAGAATTTGATTCCGAAGAAGAACTCCCACTTGGACTGAACCGAGGAGATGACCGAGCAGGAGCTGATGAGTACGTGCCAAGAAGGGGAAGGCGTTCGGGACGGTGTCGAGGAATGAGTTGTTGCTGGTTTGCCGTTTGTGGTTTAATGTGTGGACGAATGAAGAAGCAAGGAGAAAGGGCCGGTGGAAGATGAGGATCAACCCATATTTGAAGGAAGTCTGGAAAAACCCCACATGGATGAGACAATTGGGAAGCTCGGGCTCGTAGCATTTGTCCAGATTTCTTGGTATCTGGGACTTTCGGACTGGAGTGTGATTCCAAGTGAGATTGGTCGTGGAAGTGGGCATTGGGCAGGAGCTACCTTGACTTCTGCTTGGATGGTCGGGTAGAGTGCTCATCGTGAGCCGAGTACTCTCCTGCGGAATTTCTGATGACTCGTAGATCTCGCCTGCATACAAGCCGGTAACTGGCATATGTGATCTACAATTCCATCTCTTTGACAATCTGGATTCGGACCGGGATAGTGTGTATCTTGCCGCGTGGGCGGTAAGATAGATGTAGCCTTGACTCTCGATTTCAAGCCTCGCATGTCGCGTGGTACAGTCTTCGATCGGTACCAACGAGATTTGCAAGGGTACAGTAGACGGCCATGACCCCCAAGCTGTTACCCTTTGCACACTTCCTAGAAAAATATCAATGTTGTGAATGGATACCCACGCGTGGTGTGATCTGAGTTAGTACCGTTGGAGAACGGGGGG